TCATGGCCCAGCTTCTCGGCCGCAGGTGACGCTGCTCTACTTCGGCGTCTCCGAGGGCCTCGTCACGGTCGGGGGGTCCAGGGCTGGTCAGGTCCAGCCTGGGCCCCCCGCGGGCGCAAGTGTGTGCACTTCCCAGCCATTCCTAGCCTTTCCTTCTCCCCCCGACCCGCCCCCACAGATACACATTCTGAATACTACAGGGCAGTTTTTAGCACATAGGATTCTTAAAACTATAAGATTTAAAAATACATACTCATCGTTGTTTTCAATGCGAAATCCCTGCGTTTTTAATACATGATCCGCACGCGGAGCATGTATTGAAAACGGCACTGTACTCTCCTCTCCCCTGATGACGTCCGGGAGATTTTCGGCCCCCCATCAGCGTACTGTTTTTTACGCACCCGATTCCCAAGACTTGTTGGTTTTCGCTTGTTGTTGCTTCAAAATGTTGCTCCCGCTGCCGCGCTGGCCTCATTCCCGCGCTTCCGCTCGTTCCGAATCGTGCTCCCGCTGCCGCGCTGACCTCATTTCCGCGCTTCCGCTCGTTCCGGACTGTGCTCCCGCTGTAGCGCTGGCGTCACTTTTTCTAGTGCCACGCCACGCCATGCAATGCAAAGCTATGTGGTGTTCCGCTGTGCGATGCCATGCCTTCAGCTGCAATGCTAGGATATGCAGTGCTTGACTACGCAGAGCCACGCCATGCTATGCCATGCTACGCTTTGATCTTCAACACCATGCTATGCCATTTCTGTTCTGTGCCGGTGTGCGATGCCATCATTTGCATTGCAATGCTTTGTGATGCAATTCTTCACCTACGCAACGCAACGCCATGCTATGACATACTACGCTCTGCCGTGCTCTTCTATGCCCTGCAATGCCGTGTTCTACTATGCACCGCGCACCCTCTCGGGATCATTGCCCTGCTCGATATCCGACTGTGCGAATAGAAGGGAGACCTGCGCCATGGGAAGGGATGGAAGGGAAGGGGCAGGACGTCAGATATGACGCGAGCGCACCTACCTTGTCCCATCCACTCCCCGCACCCCCCGCCTTCTTTCGGTGACCACCGAACGAACGAAGCAGCCATACGCAAAACGCGCCTGGGCAAGACGATGGGCGAGCGTACCAGCAACGCCGAACGCGCTGGCCGACGGACGGGAGGCGCCAAACGCGCGACAAGACCGACAGCGACGACGCGCCAACTGCGCGCCGGGAGGACGAGGGGAGGAGGAGGAGGAGGAGGAGGAGGAGGAGGAGGAGGAGGAGGAGGAGCAGGAGGAGGAGGAGGAGGAGGAGGAGGAGAGTAAAAAGGAGGGGGGATGAGGGGTAGGGGGGGAGGAGGCGGATGAGGGCAGGGGGAGGAGGGGGGGGGGGGGGGGGGGAAAGCGGAGGCGGAGGAGGAGGAGGAGGGGGGGGGAAAGGGAGGCGAGGGGAGGAGGAGGTGACGATGCTGCGGGGCAGGAGGCCTGCGCCCCTCCTGGGCGCAGGCAGCAGCGGATATCTCCCCCGCAGGGCAGGCCTCTGCCCCGCGGCAGGCCGCGCGGCCCCGCCGCGCGCGAGCGAGCGGCGACCGGCGCGCATCTCCGCCCTGCCTCGGCCCCCGCCCCCACCTCCGCGCGGCCATAGGAGGAGGAGGAGGAGGAGGAGGAGGAGGAGGAGGAGGAGGAGGAGGAAAGAGAAGGAGGAGGAGGAAGAGCAGGAGGAGGAGGAAGAGCAGGAGGAGGAGGAGGAGGAGGAGGAGGAGCATGAGGAGGAGGAGGAGGAGGAGGGGGAGCGCGCCGCGCGGCGCGGCGCTGAACCCGGCGATTCGTTCTGCGTGGCTCCGACCTCCGCGCCAGAGTCGATGGGCAACCCTGGGAGCTCCCCGTTCCAGCGCGCGCTCGTTGCCCCCGACCTCCTCCTAGTCGATCTTCGGGTCTCGCGGCTCCCGGCCCCGCGGAAGCGCCTGCTGCCGCGACGGCCCGGCTTCCTCCCACGACGGCGCCCGAGTCTGTTCGGACGGGCCTGCTCCAAAGCTGCCTCTGTTGGCCTCACCTGGGACGCAATGAGGAGGAGGAGGCTCATGTGCCCCGCGCCCCTTGGGCAGCGCTGCCGCCCTGGCCGCGAGGCTGAGGAAGGAACTCAAGCAAGGGGTGAAGACAACTCAGACAGCAGCGCCAGTGCGTGCAGCCACTGCCCAAATTTCTCATACTCCAAGACTCTGGCATTGCTTGTGACAGCGTTCGGCTCCATCCCCACTTTGCACAGCTCGCTGAGCAAAACTGACGCCTGCTGCCACTGCTTCGCTTTCGCGCAGGCATTGAAACAAGCATTGTAGCTAATGGCGTTCTGCTCAATGCTTAACCTTTGCAGCTCGCTGAGCAGCAGGGATGAGAGTTTCCACCTTGTTACAACACTTCCATCACTGCGGAAGAGTTGGCGATCTTGGCACGCGCTGATAGCAGTGTTGTAGCTGACGACGTCTGCCTCCAATGACACTTGCAACACATTGCTGAACATCGTCAGCGCCTGCCGCCATTGCATTGACTCCTTGCACACGTCAATCCCAATGTTGTAGCTATGAACACTTGGCTCGACCTTCAGTTTCCGCATATTGCTGAGCAACGACAACACCGTCTGCCACTGCTCGCCTCTCTCACACGCTTGGATGGCCGCACAACATCCGGTGTAGCTCACAACATCTGGCTCCAATTCCGCCACGCACAAGTCATTGAACAACAGCAACGCCTGCTGCCACTGCCTACCTTTCTCGCACGCCTGAATCCCAGCATTGTAGCTGACTAGAACTGGTCTGTACAAGCGCGCAGCGAAACAATTACACATCTCTGAAGCCCAAGGAGTGGACACAACACTGCCCTCTTCTTCTTCTTCTTCTTCTTCCTCCTCCCCCCCGACGCCAAGGAAGCTCCATACTCACTGCAAGACGTAAAGAAAAGAGGCTTGAGCATCCCAACGAGCTCTCGTTTTCGCTATCGCTATCGTCTCGCCGGTGCTGTCGGTCTCGCTTTCACTATCGCCCCCGTTCTCACTCCAGCTCTGGCCCTAGCTCTCTTTCTCGCTCGCGCTCGGTCCATGCACCTGGGCAGAACTGGCGGTGTATGCCTGCTAGTTTCCGATACGGCCACACTCGCGATCGCTCTCGCCCCAAGCCTGTCGGCACACCGGGGAACCGCGGAATTCGCCGCCCCCCTTCCGAAAATCACAGCAGGCATCAGGAAAAAGGAGACTGCCAAAACCGCCGACTGGGCTCTTGCCAGAGCATGCAAGAAAGCCGAGGAGCTCGTGCGAAGAACTCCTTGGTGAGGCTCCAGGGACCCGCGCGGGAGTGCGAAAGAGCCGCATGGCTGGCGCAGGGCCACCCCGGACGGGGGCGGGGTGGCAGGGAAGGTCAGACTGCAAGAGGACGGAAGGCGTCTACGGCAGGTTCGTGTCGTGACGACTTGTGCATTTGTTCTTGACGCCAAGTGAATCGTTCAAACCTGAACAATCGCAGCTCCCTGAAAACGCGGGTTGTTCGATGTCGGCCGGTTCCAACACACTGGCGGCGTTCAACCTTGAACGTCGGTGCTGGGGAAGCTGCTGCGTCAACACGACACGAATCTACCGTACACCCTGTCTGGGCCCAGGATTGGCCTGGCCGACGACGGCGTCGGTGCGTTGGTCGTCGACCTAGAGCGGAGGGGCCAACCTCTACCCCAAGCTTCAGGAGTGTTAGACAGATCTGGACTTGTGAGACGGCCAGCCTCCAGCCCTGGCTGCTCCTCGCCCACCTCCCCAATGCACACCCGGGCCCTGACCACAATCCGGAACACTTCCCCGATGGGCGTCGTCACACGACGACCGGTTCGACCGCACCGCTTCTGGCGAGCGAGGGCGCACTCCGAGGCTTTCAGGATCTAAGACCACCCAGTAACGTCCAAGATGGGTTGAAGAACCTCCGCAACGAAAGACACCTCCAGAATGGGCGAAAGAAGCATCCAGAATTGGGCTCGGACCTCCATTCTGGAGGGTTCTGGGGTGCGGGTGACATTCGGCTCCAGCCTCACGCACGACAAGCTGAAGAGCAGGGACATCGCATGCTGCCACTGCCCCGCCTTCTCGCATGCGCTGATCGCCGAGTTGACACAGACGACGTCCAGCCTCAGCCTTTAGAAGGACGCCAGCGATGCACCCACGCCGATCCTGGCAAGGCTCATCCTCGGCCCAGGATCACTGTACACGCTCTCCTGGCCTGGCCAGGGAGGCGCGCTCAGCGGTGGACAAACCTCCCTTTAGTGAACCTCCCTTTGGTGAAAACGGCCTGGGACCGAAACCGACGGACCTGGACCCGCAAAAATGACGGCCACAAAGCCCTCTCGCGAATCGAAAACGGACAATTCGCTAATCGACGTGTCAGGGTAAGAGGTCTGTCCACCCCCGAGATATACAGGACCCAGGATACGCCTGATCGATATACAGCAGGTTCGTGTCGTGCTGGCTTTGGCGCTGGTTTCTGACACCGCGGGGAGCGTTCAATCTTGAACAATTGGCCGTTTCCGAAGCGTCAGATCGTTCAACATCGACCGAGTCTGGGTCGCCAGCGGCGTTCAATGTGGAACGCCGGCGGCGGGGTCGCCGCTGGTCGACACGACGCGAACCTTCCGTAGGCGTGCAGTTGGCGTCCTCCCGAACCTTGCTTCACTCAGCTCGCTGAGCAACGACACTGCCCGCTGCCACTGCGCGTCCCTCCCGCAAGCGTCGACTCCGGCGCTGTAACTGACGACGTTGGGCACCAGCTTCACCTCCGACAGCTCGCCGAGTAACGACAACGCGTGCCGCCACTCCCCGCTTCTCGCGCAAGCGCTCATCCCAGCACTGTAAGCGATGATGTCCGGCACTAACTCTGCTTCCCACATCTCGCCAAGCAGCAACAACGCACACCACCATTGCTCGCCTTTCTCGCATGCGCTGACTCCGGCACTGTAGCTGATCACTTCGGGCTCCAGCGCCACCTCGCGCATCTCACCGAGGATCGACAGTGCCAGTTGCCACTGCCCACCTTTCTCGCACGCGCTGAGTCCAGCATTGTAGCTTACCCAACCAGACCTATGGATGTTTGGACTGACGACAGAATAGCGGCGGGCAGAGAGGCGGGTCTCGATGATTACTGCGTGTAGTGCGTATCCAGAAGCCCGCCGAAGAATTGCCAAATACCAGGCAAAAGCAAAACAACCATGTCGATGTCGGGACTGTCTTCTGACGAGATCGCCCGATCCACGAGCGACATCCCAGCGTCAGAGGCGGAGGGGGAGGGATGAGGAGGAGGGCCAGGAGGGGGAGGAGAAGTGCTCGGGGTGGACCCCCCCCACGCCCAGCCTCACAGAGGTATGGCGATCTCAATGTTAGATGCCGTGACTCGGTTGTCGACTGGACAAAAACATTGGGCCCAGTTCAGGGACATACGATATGAGGGTGCGCCCATCCTCGATGGGTGTGCGTCCGACTAGCCCCCCAAGGGGTGTATCCTAGAGTCTCCCTTCTTTTCTGAGCGGCCAGAGCTGCGATGTGCAATTTTTTACGGTCTTGGGGCCCATCGAGGACCCCCTGATGCCGCAAACATCGAAAAACCTTTCAATGCGTTGCAGGTGTGGGGGCGTATTGTCAGGGGGGGGGGGGGGGGGGGCCAAAGGGTAGGATAGCCAAGGGCAGGGTAGAGAATCTGCTCACGTAGCTGGCTTTCCTGACGCCTCCTCGCGCCGGGAGGCGCCCATGCGGTTATCGAGGGAATGGGTCCAGCGGCGCGGCGGAAACCAGCTGCATGCAGCAAATTCCGTCCCCCCCCTCTCCCTACATATCCTACCCCGTCGTCCGGCCCGATACCGGGGGCGCGACAGTCGCCTGCCACAACCCCCTCCCGCCCTCGAGAGGGAGCCGCAGGGGCTGAGCTGACAGTGCCGTTCGGCTCCACCCCAGCCTCCCGCATCTCCGCGAGCATCAGCAGCGCCCGCCACCACTGCCCGCCCTTCCCGCACGCGCTGACCCCGGCGCTGTAGCTGACCACGTCCGGCGGCAGCCTCGCCTCCCGCGACTCCTGGAGCAGCCACAGCGCCCACTGCCACTGCCCGCCCCTCTCGCACGCGCTGACCCCGGCGCCGTACGTAAATAGGGGGCAAAGAATCCACCCCCAGAATAACCACCCCGACACGCGAAGCCGCTTACTAAACGCCCCCACTGAAGGAATCGCACAAGGCAGGGCTGTTAAAAAAACGCCCAAGGCCGTTTAGTAAACGCCAATTGTCCGGCCCGGGTGGTTTTTCCTCCCTTCATTTGGAGTCCCGAAAAGGTGCGGTAACAGACCGTGCGGTGACCTCGACATCCCCCGAGACCTCACCGCACGGTCCGTCAACGCACGGTTTTGGGACCCCGGAGGCCCCCGTCGCCCGAGACGTCCTCGGAGAGGGCCTCGAGTCCTAAAACCATGCGGTGACCCCGAACCCCCACCGACTCACCGCACGGTGGGGTCACCGCACCGGTGGGGGCCCCCCCCCTCTGGCCATCGCTCGGACGCCCATTCCCTGTGCCTTTTCCGGTGTCGTGCGTGGCTTTTTCGCCAGCTGATCAGGGATGCTCCTCGATGGTCCTCGCCGAAGGAAAACGTGCACACGTCCGAGCGATGCCACGCCCTCGGCTGCAACCGCCCCGGAGACGCCCCGGGAGGGCCGCGGGCGCCCGCGGGCGCCCGCGGGCGCCCGAGCTCGCGCCCCGAGCCCGCGCGGGCCGCCGGAGGGCAGGCCCACTCAGGGCCCGGCGCGGGGCCCCGGCGAGTGCCCGGCACGGGCAGGGGCACGCTCGGCGCGCGCCCCCGCGCCGTCGGCGCCCGCCTCGCCAGGGGCTCCGGCCTGCATATACGCCGCGCTCGCGCTCGGCCTCGCCGATGCTCGCGCTGCCGGCCTCGAGCTCGCGCTGCCCGGCCTCGAGCTCGCGCGGGCGTCGCCCCCCCTATAGAGCGTCGGGATCGCTCCTGTCCCCTCTCGCGGGGGGGAGCGTGGCTCCCGCGGGCGCCGTCGTCGCCGGCGCTGCTCCGCGGGGGCCACGCGGGCCGCGCGGGGGCCGACTCCGTTCCCGGCGCTGCTGCCGCAGGCACCGTCCCCGGCCAGCGGTGTAGAGTTGTGGATGCCATGACAATGGACACTCTGACAGCCCGATCATGGAATGAAAGATGTGTTCCAAAAACAAATGTGTAAAACATGTTCTGAACATGTGTCACACATGCTTCTCACATATTTCAAACACAGATGTAAAACATATGTTAGCCATCTGGAAATCATTTGGCATCATGCTTCCTCTCTTATTATCTTCTTCCACAAATGTAATTAGAGGCAATGACACTTGGCTCCATGCTCGCGCCGTGCAGCTCGCTCAGCACCGCCAGCGCCTGCTCCCACCTGCTCGCTCCGCCGCAGGCGGAGATGCCGACGGTGTACAGCTTGGCAGAGATCGCCAGCCCTGACGCCCTTGTGGACTCCAGCAGCTCCAGCACCACGTGCCAGTCCCGCGCCCTTGCGTGAGCCTTCAGCGCAGCACCGACCGCCTCCGCCTCGAGGCCTCTTGCCTCCAGTGCACGCTGGTCGGAAGAAGTAGGCAAACACAGGTGAAGTAGGAAGGCGGATAGAGTAGGCTGGGTTCAGGCACTGCCATGGCATAACAAAGCACAGCATCAGCATATCCATTTTTGAAGTAGGAAGGCGCTTGAAGTAGATTGGGACCTGGGATATCCCAAACTACCTACTTTCAACGACCGGCGTACACCTGGACCACGGCCTCCGCATCGAGATCTGCCCCAGAGGTCTGGGCAGGGGCCGCTCCCCCTGAGAGCTGCCTTCGTCTTTTCTCCTTCCAGAGCCTTCTTTTTGCTGCAATCTCGAGATCCTTCCTCTTGTTGGTCCCATCTCCCTGTCCAGGGCGTCGGGGTTTACCTCTGAGATCTGCACATTGTGCCTTCGCTTTGAGAGCAGACGGGTCAAGCGGGTTGCCATTCGTCACCATCGCTGGGAAGCCGAGGCATGTCGCGAGCAAGCTGAGCCATCCTCGACTGCATACAGGGGCATTGACGAAAAACGTGATGCATTGCCGCCCATTCGTATCTCTACCTCGTGCTCTTACCAGCACCCGTCAGTCAAGGCGCAGGGAAGCAACCAGAAACGCCACGGGGATCGTTCACACTTGAACGATCGACCGCTTCCAAACCGTCAGATCCCGAGTCTGGGTCGCCGGCGGCGTTCCACGTGGAACGCTGGCGGCGGAGTCACCGCCGGTCGACACGACGCGAACCTGCCGCAGGGCACGCTGACGTGTACACCTCTCCAGCTTGACTCCCGCCACCTTCTGCCGCTCTGCCAGCTTCGGCGACTCCGAAGCTCGCCATCGCTCGGACGTCCATTCCTGTGTTTTGTTCGCTTTCGTGCGTGGCTTTTTCGCCAAATGATCAAGAATGCTCCTCGATGGTCCTCGCCGAAGGAAAAATGCACACGTCCGAGCGATGCCAAGCGAAGGGTGCGGCTTGCAAAGGGTGTGGTTTGCGACGGGCCCTCTGGGGGGGCACCCCGGGGGGGCGGGCGGGGAGCCTCCGCCGCGCCCCGAGGAGGCCCGGCGAGGACAGCGTCGTGCTCTCCAGGCCCCAACGGCGCCGATCGCAGACCACACCACGGCGTATAACCAGACACCCTTTGCAGTCGCCGAGCCTTCCGTCTCTCTGCCAGCGTCCGCCGGCGGGCCGCACAGGCGAACTTGATTGGAGAGGACACGCGAGAGGACACGAGACCCTTCCGAGGGCCACGCTGCCACAGAAATGCAGGAGGTACGGGTCGCGAGACCCAGGACACGAGGGTACCCTAGATTGCGTAAGAAAAGGGAGGGTGTCACAGTCCTCCCAGACCACACAAGTTCTAGACCCCCCCAGACCACCCATGAAAGGGCGGCACTTTGCCCAGACCCCCCCTAACCCCTCAAGACAGCTCAAATCAGACCCCCCCGCCAAATGTAACCCCCCCTACCCAGACCCCGGACGTAATGATTTTTTCATTACGTCGACCCCCAGAGGTCCCGACCCTTTCCCCATGACCGGCTTTGCATCCCGAGTCGTTTTTTGACGCTCCCGAGGCCCGGCGAGGGCCCCCGGAGGCCGAAAGTTGGGAAAAACCTCCCGTCATGATTTTTTCATTACTCGAGGGGGTCTGGGTACTTTGTTATGGAATCCGGAGTACCCTTGACCTGGCAGGGCCGACCTGCTCATCCGGGCCGCCTCCACGTGCTCCAACCACTGCCGGCCCCTCCACTTCGGCCTCCGCCCGCGGGACAGGCTGCCGACCCTTCGGGCTGCTCGGAGCCACGGCTCCCCTCTGGCGCCCGCGGTGGGCTCGTGGCGACCTCGAGGCGGCTCCGGCCGCGGCGAGGGGTGGCGCGGGAAGGGCACGCCGAGAGGCGCCGCAGCGGCGGGCCCGCAAGGCTCCGACGAGGCCGCCCCCCCCACAGCTCGATCTGGCGCCCTCCACCGGCCCGGGCCTCGCTCGCCACGAGCTCGGCCCTCCTCCTCCTCCTCCTCCTCCTCCTCCTCCTCCTCCAGGTCTGCAGTAATTACGGGCTGCGTCAAGGGAGGGTGGCCCACACACCCACCCACCCACCAGAAATGGGGAGGGCGAAGTCCCTGTGTGCGCGACGGGGCGAGCACGGAGGGGTGCCATACGCCTTCCCAACCTCACAGGGCTCAAGCACCGCAGGCCTGAGTCGTGCCCTCACGCATCGGGTGATGCTTTGCATCACTGATATCATGCGCATCACCTCATGTATGATGTCATTGAGTCTTGCACTGGGCCCTTGGGGCCATACCTCAAAAGCTTTCGTGTACATGCCTCCTGGGACGTGTTGGAATCTCTCGAGGCCTCTTGGGTGGGCCATCCGCACTTCCAAAGGCTTCTGGCGGAATGGTAGGTACCTTTTAACCGGGAGGGCCCAACATCACTCT